AACTAACATGATGAGGCAAGAATTTGAACCCAAGCAGTTTGTCATAGAAACTTAGGCTCTCACACACATGTGCCTTCGTGCCAATGAGTAAATGGAATAAAGATTTCCATGACTTACCTTAATTGATCCTAGCAGAACATTTTATCTATTGAGATACGATGGTATCAAGCAAGTACTCTGAATTAAGAAGCTATTTCTGATGAAGGCACCAATGCATTTAAAATTATTTAAGAAGCATACAAGATCAGGATTAACAAAATTATCCTAAACTGATGAATATTCATCATTTGTCTTCTGTTAACTTAGAATTTTTGCAATCTAGAATTACTGCAGAGTATTTATAATAACTCCATTGAATAAAAACATTTTCTGTGATTAAAATTTATGAAATCATTTTTTTAAAGCTTGTCTGAGTGGTTCAATAAAGCAAAGCAAACAAAACAAAACAGAAGTCAGCATCAACAAAAACAAAGCTAACGCAGTTCAGGTATATCTGCCCTAAGAAACAACACATCAACAGACCCAGCATCGAAAAGCAGCGACTGTAAGAAATGAGCAACTGTATTGTCTCAGTAGTAATAGAGCATTGTGTTGTAGATTCAGGAAAAAAGAATTAAATAACGTATTTGAATTTCAGAATTGGGTTTGGGTTTTGCCTCTGTGTAATTTAGGTCTGAATTCTATTTAAGTGCTAATTTTAAAAGGGTCAAATAATCATGCCCCCCACCCCCAGCTATTTCCTCCCCCAAAGCACTATTTGTTCACATGCATCTGATCATTTATACAGACAGCTAAATTTACTTAACTGTATTTACATTAGTTCCTCTAAAGGTACTTAGGTAGAAACGGTAAGGTTAAAAAAAGAACCAGTATTTATTGAGTGCTTGAAATGTGCCAGGCCCTGTTCTCCGTGCTTTACATAGAAGGCTTCATTAATTCTTCCAGGAGGCCAACTTTGTGAGGAAGGCAATGTTACCCCCATTTATAGGGAGGATGCTGAGTGAGGACCAGGGTTTGCTTGCTCGGAGTCACATAGCTGAGACCCTAATCCAGCAGCCTGCTCCTTTAATCACTTACTTGCCCCCTAAGAAAGTGCCAAGTAAACAGAATTAAAAAGTCACAGTCTAACAACCACTTGGTTCTCATCAGTCATAAAGAGTTATTGAGTGCTTATCATATCCAAGAAGTATGCTTGAGGGCTGGAGGATGGATGGCTCAGTGGTTAAGAACACTGGATGCTTTTCCAGAGAACTGGGGTGCAACATGGTGGTTCACAACCATCTGTAACTCCACTTCAGGGAGTCCAACAATTTCTTCTGGCTTCCATGAGCACCAGGCAAACACATGGTGTAGGCACATACATGAAGACAAAATACCCATACATATAAAAATATTAAAAATTCAAAAGAGGAAGTGTAGTTGAATGGGCACCCAAGTTCTTTCCCACAATGAACAAGGGCAGATGACCACTGGAGTGGAGACTTAGTGTGACCTCCTTTGACTCAGCCAACTTGTGCAGGCTCCCTGTAAGAGGATCACAGTAAGAAGCCCTCCAAGAGTAAGGACCAAATGAGATGACTTAGTTCACACAGGATGTTACCTGAGTATTACTACTCTTACAATATATGACCCTGCTCTTGAGAAGCTTCTATGAAAGGATACAAAATCATGAAAATAAGAAAAAAACAAACCAAACCACTGAAGCCTCCATAAAAGACAGCTGTTTAAATGTTGAAGGACAAGAGCAAGTAAATGGCATTTATACTGAGGAGAAGGCTGTAACTAAAGCCAAATCTGGACCCAATGTTTTGCAAGTTTATTTTGTACAAGGTGTTTCATGCATGAGTAAATGTTTTGTCATTTGTAGACTAAACTACATTTATTGAGAACTTTTTATATGCAAGGCAGTACAATAGGATTTTCCCATATATGACCTATCATTAGATGCACTGATATTTCAGGGGGTCTTGGTGAGAGCTTTGTGCATTCCTGGATTTGGGTAGACACAATCATCACTCAGAAGATGGGAGTTACCCTAGTGATCTACAGACCCACATGGGCTCTTACATTTGGGTTTGTGCTATGAATACACACAATTAAATTTGTGTGACAGGTCAAGTTAATGTAAAAAGAGCAACTTAATACATTGTAAGTCATCAAGAATAATTCAGTTTCTTTTGTTTTGAATTAGGCAATTAGCAGAGGTGTGAAGATTAACACCAATCTTTCTCTTGTGCTGACAGGGTCTAAATATTCGAGGATACTAAACTGACTTCGTATCCAGAACAGAAAGCCAGTTTTGTGCTTATTCTTCCTATCTTGAGTAAAGCTGCTGATCAAACAGCTAGCCACACTCCCCCTTCCCAAGACAAAGATCAGGCATTTGCTTTGCCTTCAGCAACCAAGTCTTTCCATCTTTCAGGCTTATCACTTTTGCCCGGTTAACTATAGGGATCTTCTTGTCTGCCTAGTCTCTAGATTAGTGGTTTTCAACCGTCCTAATGCTGTGACCTTTTAATACGGTTCCTCATGCTGTGGTGACCCCGACCATAAAATTACTTTCGTTACTACTTCATAACTGTAATTTTGCTACTGTTATGAATTGTAATGTAAATGTCTGTGTTTCCTGATGGTCTTACATGACTCCTATGAAAGGGTTGTTCAACCTCCTAAGGGGTCATGACCAACAGGTTGAGAAGCACTATTCTAGTTATCTCCTTTCTTCATCTGTCATTCATAATGTGACCCCCGTCACCACTCTCAAACAGGCAGATTGTTCCTCTACATGAAACTTGCACTGGCTCCCTAGTGTCCCAAAATGAAATGGAAGATGCTTCACATGCCATATCAAGGTTTTGCTCCTGGAAGCATTCTACTTTTCCAAAGCCGGTCAGCTATTCTACAAACACTGAACCAAATGCCCTTTACTCTGACTTTGGACTTGGTCCTTTCAACACTGAGGATTTTTCAGAGACCATTTTCAAATAAATTCCCATCTCCTTATATTTTCTTCAACTTGTTTTATAGAACAATTGCTACAAAAATTAGAAGAAATATTCCCTCTATACTTCCATTAAAAATGTTATAACCTCATAGCTAAGAAATATTAAAAGATTAGAAAGGCACCTAAGTTGGATACTTAAGCACAGAGAATCCTTTTTGGGGGATTCAAGCCCCACCCCTCATCCCAGGAATTGCAAGGCTAGCCTCATGAGTGCTTATGAGTACCATCCATGCACAGCATTTTCATGGCCAGTACTGGGGATCACTGCCAAGTCCTCTTGGTGCAGGTTCAGTATCTACTGAAGAGATTAATCAAATGGTGTTATTAGGTGGGTACTGTAAGGATGACATACTCATAGCCTTCCCACCTTGTTTTAGAATCGAGCCGTCTATCGTTCAAAGCCAATTGGCACCTGAGTTTTCATGAACAATTCTGAATGTGCTTTGTCAAATTTAGTAGCTCTTGTTACTTTAAAATAGCCACAAATAAATGTAAATTATTTTTATGTATGTATTACATAAATACTGATGTTGGTAAAAATAATAAAAATTCTATTCTACTTTGTAAATATACACAGGGTCTTTACCAGACCTCCAATTTATAGCTAAAATACACTTGGAACTTAACAATAAAAGGGACAATTCAGTTATTAATGGCACTAGACACACCTATATAGGAGATGATCCAGTCTCAATTACTGTTCCTAATTTATCAATGTCTATCAGAAAACAAATTTAAGAAAAATATGACAGTGGGTCAAAAAAACAGCTTAAATGTACTTTGTGGGATAATTTTCCAGTTTTCAAATGTATGATTTGAACCAGGCTTTAGTCATAGTGATGACATGATACCATCAAACGAGGGAATTGATTCCATACAGAACCTCATTGCCACAAAGGATTTTATAAATTAAATATTAATTTATAAGAGCTTAATGGTTGTGGCATATACTTAGGATGAAAACAAAATGCCTCTTTTAACACTGAGGACTGGATGAAAGTGCTACGGATTTTCTAATTTGAAAACACAGCGAGATAATTGTTTTCATTGCTGCTCTTCATTAAAGACTCAACTTGGATCTATGCTAGCAAACTGTCTTTCTATAATTCAAAATAGACTTTTAAAAATTAGCAATTTGTTTCTTATATAAAGTTTAGAAGGGAAGGCCAAACTCCAGTCCTATAATAGTCTGTGGGAGTTCTCAGCAGAAGCCTCATCCTATGCAACCTGATAATAATGAATCACTTTTTCTTGTTTATTTTAAGAACTCTGCCAACAAGTTGAGGTTCGCAACATAAATGTACTTTAGATAAAGATATTGTAAATAGAGTATGCAGCTGCAAATTCAGCACATTATGAAAGAAATTCGTTTACGGTCCTATGAATATAAAACAGCAAGTCAGATGGATATCTGAGATGCAATCTACCATCCTAGACGGCAACAACACTCTAGCTATGATATTAAAATAGCAAACCTTTGCAGAGCGTTAACCTATTATTACATGGAGTAAATGGCATGACACTGCCACCTAATTAGCAGTGTGGCTTGCATCTATAAAACAGAATTAGCACCACTGCTCCTTTTTTATTCTTAGTTTGTGTTTCCACAAAGGTATGACCTTATCTGTATGCGTCTGTGTTCATTTATGCCCATCTACAAAGGATTTAATTATGTTCTTTTAGTTTTCTACACCGAGGAAATTGAAAACTGCCACTTGGAAATTAAAAGTCTTAAAGAAATTAGTGAGCAGATTATTTGCAGCACACCCTTCTTTCGGAGATAAGGAACAGTATGCCTTTGAATAAGGGTGCCATACATTTTCCAGAGAAGGAAATCCCAGGCAAGGCGGTTCTTACAGTCACTGTCCCTCTTCCCCATATGTATCCCTCCAAGTTTCTCTACTTGTTTTGGGCAGAGCTACTTAAATGGAAAGTATACTGTAAGGTTCCTAAAACTTCTATCAACTAGGTCGGCAGCCAGAAAATACCAACTTACATCTGAGGAAGGCGATTCGAGAACAATGCCAAATCCCAGGACGTGGCTCTCCTCACTGGAGGTGAGCTCTGTGGCTTGGAGACCAGATGGCCTTGTGACCATGGCTGCTGGCTTCTTCTCAATTTCCAGTGGACTGGGCTTTGGTTTCACAGTCACAGGTTCCACAGTCTTTGGGAGCACTTTTTTCTTTTTATTTCTCTTTCTTGAGACAGCGGTTCGCTGGGAGCATATAAGGGAAATTGGGGGTTGTTGTCTGTTTTGAGTTCCAACTGTGGACAATAAACACAAATATGGTACAGGCACTTGTCTCTGAGGAAAACCTACCCAGGTCTGTCTCTGTGATGTAAAAACTGACAGTGAAGTGAGGTTCCCTCAGGATGAAGCACAGGTAGATAAATGTCACCCTGCACTGCAGGGCTGTAGGGGCACTTTACAATCTTAACAGCAGAGCACCACCCAGGAGAAAACAGCTCTGAACACAGTGGATCATCGGACCATCACTACATTCTGGCTTCCATGGAAGGAAAGGGTTAAGAGCTATGGAAAAACATGGCTTAACGAAAAGGCATGTTGGAGTAAGAACTCCAAAACTTAAATTTAGGTATAAATGCTCATACTCTCTGGTAAGCTCATTCCAGCAAAACCCCTAATATCCCTTGGAGATTAGCTGATTAGTTACAGTCTACAAGGGCCAAAATGATGATCCTTTAGGCAAGACTAGTTAAAAGAAACAGTTTGGAAGGATTCCATCTAGAACAGGGCTGGGTAAGCACATGGAAAAGTCACATTAGTCACTTAATCTTGCCAGGTCTTTCTTTTCTCATCAAGTATCCTTTGCATGTCAACTACCTCCAGCACGCTGTGTTCCATGGCAGCAGACTAGTTTGCTTGCTTCTCCAGACCTCATTGATTTACATAATGGAAAGTAGGAATGACAGAGTTGTGAGTGAGTCAAGTACATTGTCAAATCTACGAACAGTACTCACAAGTGCTCACAATGACACATACTTAAGAAATCCAAGAAGGCAAGTTTACTTTTCACAGGGGTACTCTCAGAAGAATTTATCAACCATTCTGACGGAATATGAAATAGGAAAATATGGCTTCAATTTGCATAAAGTCCTCCTGTATCAGCATGACTTCCTAAATAAGACAAGGTGTACCTGCCTTTTTCCTTTTAAACAGAAAGAAACCTATAAACATAAGCCACATGAAAACTAAGTCTTTAAATGTACATCAACAAGGCCTACCTCCTCTTATTTCCCTCAAGTCTGCAAATCAAGAATATTTATACTGATCCAAATAATTTTATTGCTGCACTAGAAGGTAATTTCTAAGTTTTGGAAGCAACTAGCTGGAATAGTGGCATTATTTAACCATGCACGTGGTGTCTAGTGACAATGGTTCTTGATCTTAACTTCAAACTAGAATCAGTGTGGAATTTTGAAAAGTACTCCCAGGCCTTAAGAACCAATCCTGGACTCCGTGGGTCAGAATGTCCAGCAGAGGGGCCAGGGAGTCAGTATCACTGCAAGGGCTCTCCAGAGAACCCAGCATATAGCCAGCTGCATTTTAATTCCTGGCTAGCCTGTCTTGTTGGAAGCATCAAACAGACTCCAGAAACCATGAGCAGGAGCAGCTAGGCTGCAGCTCCCAGGCCCAAGCTCTTTCTAAGCTCAGTCGCTGAAATGTTTCTGGTGTTCAGACAGGGTTACTGAGTCTTGCTTCTCTTGTAAGTCTTGAAAGAGCCCAGTTTTCCTGCACTCAGATCTTAACTGCTTGATCTAAGTCCTCATCTTCCTGTAAAATAAAGGTGAACCTTTCAAAACAGAATTTAAATCTATGTCTCATGGGCAATAAGCCCCAAGTAAATCTGCCTGCACAACATGAATTTTTAAGTTTAAAAGAAAATTAAAGGAGAGTCATTTATTCGGTTTATCCTTTTTGTTCTCCATAGCTCTGGAGCCGTTTGCTTCACTAATCTGCAAAGGTTCAGAAGAGAAAACATGGTGACAAAATGGCATTTACTTAATAGATTCTAAAAAGACTCCAGTTAAGGATTTACAGGGGTGCAATTTGTAGTTTGCCATTTCAGTGGTAAGGAGCTTAAGTAACAAAATAAATCATTACAATTTCATATGCATATTTTCTTAAGTACTAACAGATTCCCTCTCCGTGAACAGCATCTACAGAGTAAAGTAACCTTTCATTCCGAGGTCCTTACATAGGAGATGGCGACCTCTGCCAGGCTGATAAGGACACAGAGTGCCATGGTGGAATAAGGTGAGCCAAGTACTTACTGACTTGACAAAATGCTTATTTTTGCCTTGGGATAAGACCAAATTCAGTCCTTAAAAATACAGTTTCCAGAAATCCCTTTGGTTTCTCTAAAAATTTGATTGTGGGTGACTGATATGTCTAAGAAGTAAGCTTTTTATATCAAAACCATACCATGGACTGTGAAGATTTTGCTAGAATGCTGTGGCTGGCACCAAGTGCATTTTCTGAGTGTTGACTTCATGAACACAACCGTGATCAGAGTCAGAAGGGCCATCACCACAGGGCTAGGCTGCTTTCCCGCTTTCCCATACTAACATCTACCAGCAGTTTATCCGTCAGGAGAGAGAGATTTGTTATTTTTTGCATATGTAACAAAAATAAAGAATAAATTTTCTTACTAATAGTGAAAATCGGAAAAATAAGCCACTGGACCTCGACTTCCAAACTTCTACAAAGTGCTGTGGGCTTTTAAAAGAACACTGAGGTGTGCATTCTGCCTTCCAAAAATCTCACTTTCTATAGCTATCTCCTTCACATTTAAAAACAGCCCCACGAATCAGACATTAATGCTCCATTCACAGATGAGAACTGGGAGGCCTAGAAGTCGTCCGGCTAGAGGGTGAGAAACTGGGAATTCAATTCCCAGCTCTACATGCCCGGTTCCATTGTTCACCTTACCCAGTGACAAAGAGAACAGAGAGAGTCAAGTGAAGGGAGTGGCCAGATGCAAGGTATGCCTGATCACTACATCCCGATGCAAGAGAAGTCACAGGCAGAGCCTGTGGCTCACCACTTCTCATCTGCTCACGTCCTCGAGCATCTTCACCAGGGAGGCTTGCATTTCCTGAAGGGCTCTTTCACATAAGATATTCCAAAATTTAATTAACTGGCATTTGTGAAGTACCAGGAGATCATGGGATGAAGTACACTGAATTCATGTGCATAAGCCCTGACAGCAGTATTAGGGGCAATAACAAAATCTGTTTGATTTGCTAAGAAAATAAAATAAGACAAAATCATAGGTTGTTGAAAAAAGTCAAGAAAACGAATACCTGAAAAGGCACAGTAAGACAGCAGGGAGGGAAGGAGTGTGGGACAAAAGGACAATGCACACAACCGAAGATGTCAGGCACACATTCCCAATCAAAGGGTGCTTTGCAGGGCTGGTCTTTGTACCTGCTTGAAACTGCATTAGCTTCCTCATGGTCTTGAGCTCCTGAAGAATGGCCTGCAATGTTGACTGGCAGCTACAAGTACAGCAGTTGGATCCAGCTGATGAGTTCGCCCCTGGAAGTTCTCCTAAGCAAGAAAGAAAAGAATGATATACTCCCAAAGCATGCAAAAAATAATTATAAAGAAAAGGAAAAAAAATGTATCTTGACAGGGTTTTGAAGTATGTACAATTATCTTCAAACTGTGCCAGAAGAAAATGTACCTAGTAATTTTCACAACCTGAATTTTGGGGTCTGACTTTATCTAATTACCCAGCCTTCTGCTTGTAAGGTGCATGCATGCTGCGTTACACACAGGTGGCATGGTCTGTGTGAACGCAGGCACACAACGCACTGCCAAGGCAGGCCTGTCTACTGTGAGGCCGGTTCATCACAGATAACGATACTCTGACAAGTCATGATAAACACTCATGCTATTTTCTCTTATATTTTTGGTTGTGAGGCTTTAATGGCTGAGCCATCCCCCTCAGCCCTCATGCTACTTTCTCAAACAGTGAAAACAAAACCAAAAACAGTCCCGGCTCTGCATCAGCCCTACAAAACCACCTTCGTAGCATGTGTGCTACAAAGTTCATATTAAGAACCAAACCAGCCTAATAAAAACTAGTTTTACTAGCAAGTGTGCCATTTCAACAATGAAGAGCTGTGGCTACGCAGGAACTTCTGCAATACGCTCTGGCTGGGGTGGGGAGAAGCTGGAGGCAGGGTGGGAGGGCACAGCACTTTGCCTGAAGGTTCAGAGGTGTTTCATGAAGGATTATCCCTCTTTTCTCCACCCTGCATCTTAGAATCCTCATCACCAGTCTCCTTCTCACGTTTACATTGAAGTACTTTCCTTATCAAAGCTACTCTCCTCTGTTTCCCCTAAATATGCACTAGAATTTCCCCACTGTCCATGAACAGAAACAGCACATTTGGAAAAAAGCTCTGGCAGCTGGACCTCTCTAGCTCCAGGTTAGCTACCATGAATCGGGGCAGACTAAGGGGCAGCTACTTCCTAAGTTTCTGACAGGCAGGAGATACAACCAATTCCTATAATACTCATTATTTGTAGATAGTGAAGTTTACCACAGCAAAACCACAAAAGAATGAAAGGTTACATATGGACAGCGCAAGCATTAACATTCAAATAGTAGCAAAGGGAGGTGACTCAGCTTTAGAACCACTAGCTATCCCAAAGAAACACATGGCAATCATATCTGTATCCTAGTGATCCTTGAGCAGCTCTGGGAGGTGGGCAGGGCATAGTCTCAAGTGAAGGCCAAGATCCCACTTCACTTCTAATTCCCCACAGTGGGAACAAGAGGTAGCTAAATATTACATTTGTTAAAATTTCTCCAAACTGCAAATGACATCATGATAGTCTATAGTATTTGTGTGCCCAAGTTGTAATAAATCTTGATTTTTAAAAAAAATAATGTATGTATTTTGGTAGTAAATTATAATGGCAAATAATAAGTGATATTATTTTATATATTTTATAAACTGATTTTATAAACTACATATTTTATATACTGATGACATGTCTAACTTTCCCATAATTTTTCACTATTTCTAGGCTGTGAGGTCTGTCTGAGAGTTTTCACAAACTGTTGCAAATCTCTACAAAACAGTTTCCTACAGGCAGAAGTGCATAATTCTAACATATGTTATTCAAGGGTCAACTGTATAATACATTTATATTTCTTTATGTGAATGATGAGTGTGAATATATATATATATATATATATATATATAGAGAGAGAGAGAGAGAGAGACAGAGAGAGAGAGAGAGAGAGAGAGAATCATTTGGGTGTGCATGTTGCTGTTGCTGTGTGTAGAGGGCAGAGGTTGGTGTCAGCTGTCTTCCTTGTCTCTCCACTGTTTTTAGACAGGGTCTCTCAATGAACTTGGAGCGCGTTGATCTGGTTAGATTGATGGGCTTATATGTTCTTTCTGACTTCATCCTGCTGGTGCTGGGATTACAGAAGCCACACCTGGATTTTATGTGGGTTCTGGGGCTTTGAACTCAGGTCTCCACACTACAGCACAGACACTTCAACAACTTGAACTCTCTTCAGCCCCTTGCATAATATATTTTTACTGAAATGATGCAAACAAGAAACATAAATGATCTATTTTGACTCTCATTTGAAGGAATTTTTTGTTTCAATGTTAGTAGCAGTTTCTAAAGTAGATCCAGCATTCTTGCATATTGGCGAGTAGACTATGTTACCCCCAAAACCACTGATGTGGGAGGGTCACACTATATGCCCAAACCATCTCCTTTTTTCTCTTATTGGCTCCAGAGTTAAGAAGGCTTTACAGAATATTCCTAGGAACTAATTTCAGCACTATCTTTATGATTTTTTAGAGGACAAGACTAGCCCTTCTTGGCTCATTATAAATCATTTTCCAATTTTAAAGAGAACTGACTTTTTACTTTTATGGAAGAGCATTTAAAGAGCAAGCGTCCTCTAGCCTGGAAGTCTGCCAGCATGTGAACTTGATACTTGCCTATGTGATACTGAGAGAAGACACCGTACATCTCTACAGTCCCTTACTGTCTCATCAGTGTCTCAGGATGGCTTCTCAGTCCCCTGAACTGGTTACTGTGAATTGTGTTTAAGAAAAAAATAAAATAAAACATTTTCTTTTTACCAAAGGACCTCATAAAATGAAAATGAAGGGAAGAAAATCCTTGACTTTTCAAGGAATCTGAAATGCCTTATTTTTCCTTTGTTCTTTGTGTAAACTATAGATCTGCACATCCATACATAATTTATAAACCAAGTAACATCCAATGTCACTGGATGGGAAATTAATATTACCAAGAAAAGCATCAATTATTTCCCTTAAGCTTTGAACAATTTTGGAACCTTACTCTCCACTTAACAGTCTGAGAGATTTTAAAGCAGTGATTCTCAACCTTCCTAGTGATGCAACCCTTTAATATAGTTCATCATGCTGTGGTAACCCCCAACCATAATATTATCTTGTTGCTATTTCATAACTGTAATTTTGCTACTGTAATGAATTGTATGTAAGTATCCAAGTTTTCTGATGGTCTTAGGCGATCTCTGTGAAAGGTCATTCAACCTCTCCTTCAGGGGTCGTGACCCACAGGTTGAGAAATACCACTTTAAAGGCCTAGTTCTCAGTGTGAGTTTCAGTACTGGGATGCGGGTGAAAGAAAGGGCTGTAGGAGAGAGAGGTAGATCTGTGAGGGCTCTCTCTAACTAGGATTCTCCAGATGATGAGGGCAAGCAAAGGGATAAGCAAGAGCATGCATTAGCAACACAACACACGACCAGGAAGTTTCCATTAGTGCTAACGGGAGCTGCTGCTGCACCAATGTCCAGTATCTTCTGTGTACTGATAGATAAGAATTCTTACTTCATTAAAACACTACTAGGAGCCTGTGTTTATTTAGCACAGACCCTCTGATTTTCCTGTTAAGTCTGGAGCTTTATATACGCAGACTTTCTTCTTATGTCTTCCCCTGCTGCCTTAAAAAATAACATGGCAAAGGAGTGGAGCTGCTGCTGAGAAGAGTGTTTGCCGAGCCATTGTGAGATCCCCAGTCCAACACAAAAAATTAAAAAGAACCCAGTGAGGTAGGTTTCATACATTGATCTCAAAGAACAAACTCAATACTTAGGAATAAAACAAGCCAGGATACCTGCCCACAAGGATATTCTGTATGATGGACAATCATACCATTGGAACTTGCAGAGGTGTGGGGTTGACTCTGGAAGGTTCTAGAACGTGTACCATGCTGCCCTGAGAACTGACCACTTTGGGTTGGTAGTTCATTCCATGCCCCACGTGAAGGAGGGTGGAGACCCTGTGGGGCCTCGGCAGAAGAGTTCAAACGCTGAGGCCAAACTAACTCCAAATCCTGGGGCTCTTCTTTTAGTTTTTCTCCTTCTTTGCCAACACGTTGATATATCCTCCCAGTGCTGTCATTCAGTAATCTTCTCATCCCTGTAATTTGTTTTTTAATTTCCATGTTTTCATCTCCTAATGGAAACAGGGTCAAAGTTAGCATTGTAACTTAACAAAAGAAAACAAACCACGAATGGTCCACTGCCATCACCTCTAAAGCAAACAGTACTTCTTTGGAAATGGGAAAGAAAACTGATTTCACACTCTTAAATAATTCACAAAGCATAAAGGAATGAAAACTGGCTATGTCCTAAGGATAATCTTCTGGCCAGGCTCTCTCTGAGAAAAAGCTTTCTTTAGTGTAGGATCAGAAACCAACTTTCAGTTTCCTCTTTGGAATTACTTTATGAGTGAGGGTTCATAAGGAAAAAAAAAGCTGAGACAGAAGACCAAAGATGGGGCCAGTAGGCTAGTCATCTGTTCAACCACAGCCATCTGTGTGTAACTGGAATCAATGGCAGGTAGGTAACCAGCAACTTCTCTGCCCCCTCATCTGTCAGCCTCAGTGAACAGAGGTCAAAACAAAGAAGGTAGAAAGAGAAGTTGTGTAAAGCAGGTATGTTCTAGGATGGCACACTGTTGGTGGCAACATTGCCTTCATAGGAGACAATGGGAGACAGGAATACTGAGGGCCAGCACAGCAAGCAGGAAGGTCTTTGCTTCTAGTCTCCTGAATGAGGCTCTTGCGTGGATTCCTGCTCTAGACACTGGATGTATCAGCATGAGAAGCGAAGCACAACCTCTCTGCTCTGCCCTCTGCTAGAAACTAAATTCACCACCACACTGGACTTCTCCAGTGCAAATCCATTGCACATTCCCTGCAGTACCAACCTGGAACTTTGTGCAAAAGCTAACCACTCTTTCTAAATTTCATGCCCTTACATTGCCTTCTTTTGTGATGATGAGAAAAATGTATATGTTCTAAAATTCATCACCTCACTACTTAAAAGTTTACAGTTGAAGCCGGGCATTGGTGGCGCACGCCTTTAATCCCAGCACTTGGGAGGCAGAGGCACGCGGATCTCTGTGAGTTCGAGGCCAGCCTGGTCTCCAGAGCGAGTGCCAGGATAGGCTCCAAAGCTACACAGAAAAATCCTGTCTCGAAAAACAAAACAAAACAAAACAAAAAAAGTTTACAGTTGGGGGACATATATTTACATTTTTGTGAAATCAGTCTCCAGATCTGCTTTTGTTTTGTTTTTGAATTTCAACTTCGTATTAAGATTCTTTTTCCCTCAGAGCATGTTTTAATTTTTTCTTTTCAAAACAAGGCACTTCAGCTAGGTTTGGTGGTGCACGCTAAGTACCAGCACTACACTCAGGAGGCAGAGGCAGGTGGATTTGTGAGTTGGAGGCCACCCTGGTCTACATAGCCAATTCCAGGCCAGCCAGAGTTACATTAGACCCTGCCCCCCCCAAAAACAAAAAACAAAACAAAAAGCTAAGCTATCTCTATGCTATATTTATATTTAATAAAAACTACTAAACATAATTATCACACTGTAAAGGTATTACAAGTTACTACAGACACACTGTCTTCTCTTCTTCCCTGTGGTGCTGGAGGAAAGTCCAGGGCCTACTCCATACTGTGCGGCCTCCCCAGCCCTATGTGACCTTAAACTGTACAGTCACAGGCATCTTCTTACAGATGAAGTGTGCTGTTTTCTTTCTCTTTTGGTTTTTCAAGACAGGGTTTCTCTGTGTAGCTTTGGAGCCTATCCTGGTACTTGCTCTGTAGTCCAGGTTGGCCTCAAACTCACAGGGACCAGCCTGCTTCTGCCTCCCAAGTGCTGCTATTAAAGGTGTGCTCTACCACTGCCTGGCAAAGTGTGCTTTTTTCCTAACCTAAGCACTGAAAGTCTTATTCCATAATACGTATACACAGCCATGTAGTCACCCTAATAAATGCTTGAAATTTAAAACGTGAAGAGAAGAAAAAGACAGAAGAAACTGTTAGGAAAAATGTAGCATTACAAGTAAACATATAATGATGTTTTAATGCACTTAGCATCCTATAACCCAGATTTTTCAGGCAGAACCGGGCAATTTTACAAAAACCTATATACTCTGTAGTATCGAGTTAGACATTTAGTTCATTAATGTATTTTATTACCCAGTATTGTGTATGGAAATTTTATAAGCTATTTTGAAATAAGTAACTTCAAAATTTGGGGGGAGGAGTTTGGGGATCAACTCATGCCAAACATGAGCTCTACTGAAGAGTGGTACCCTAGTCACTTCAGTTTTAAAAATGGTAATAAAAATAGATTCTGTCTTTCATATTGAACAGAATGCAAGAAAAAACACATTCCGAAATTTATATTATGTGCTAATACATGATTGAGAGGAACAATAGCTTAATTGGTTATAAATTTTTTTCTATTTCAAACACCAGCAAAGTTATAATACAGAAACAATAAATCATATTTCAGATTTTATGAGAATGAATGACCAAGCACGATTTAAATAATGCAGAGCCAACAAAATTTATACCATTCTCACTATGTCTACAGAGCAGGGTGTGTCTGGAAGAACTCCCAGAGGAATTCTGCAAGCAGCCTACTAGCAGATGTAGTGTGAATTTCAGTGTCAGACACTGGCTTTCCCCGGCCACCCAACAGCACACACTCAGCAGGAGGAAGCATCTTTTCCCTGTATTTCCACTCTTGACCTTTTGCTCAGACTGGCCATGAAGTACCAAAAGCTGTGCATGGGCTGGTCTTCACTGGCACAAGCTAGCTGCTGCCTTTCCTCTCACTTGTGGCTCCCTGGAGAGGAGGCTAGGCTAACAGGCTCTTACCTCAGCGCCAGTCCACCTCTCTGCACTAACCCTATATATACATAACAGGAACAGCAATGCTTCTTGACCAAGGTTCATCTGTGTTTGGAGGATAGAATTCTATGATAAAGTGCTATCATCAGGAGAAAAAAAAAAAACAAAAAACAAAAAACAAAAAAAAAAAAAACACAGCCACGAGGGTTCTGCAACAATCTAAGGGCAATCTAAGATGCTTTGTCATTTCGTTTCACGGTTCTAGAACTTGGGCCTGTAAAGATTAAGACTGAAAATACAACTGAAGTTTTGCATACAACAAAATACAAACTTGGTTGTATTGATGCCCAGAATCCTAAGAAGCCTAGAGTAGAGAAATAAAGAGGGTGGTGAGCGCACAGGAAGAACCTGGTGGATGGGCAGCCCCTACAAAGGTAGGTCAAAAGATCTTCCAAAGAAGGGCAAAACTGAGTGGAATTAAAACCTGACCAGAAGGGGGATGGCAAAAGAGTGTAGCTGTGAAGGAAGCCAGCTCAAAGTCTAGTGTCCGCAGGACATTTTAAAGGACAGAAAACAGCACATAATTGCAGAACTCTCTTCTCTCTCAAACGAGTCAAGAGACCAGGGGGAAGGTCGGAAGAGGACTGGTGGAGGGAAGTATCTTAAAAGAAGTAGGTTGGGATCCTTAGTGGACAACTCAGCATTCAGAAACAGACTCTGGAAACTTCTTGTCTGGAGACTCCCTATATCTAGAAAAGTGGGGAGAAGCTGAGGCTATTGCCTCTGACAGTGTTCCTAAGGTAAAGGAATTCCTGGGACTCTTGATTGGGCAGTTTTGTCTAGAGAGGGAAAGAGCTTTGCTAGCACATTCAGGACACAGAGGGCAGAAGGTCAGAAATGAGACCTGATGACTAAGTAGACACCACAAAAAAGCTGAGTCAATCTACAGAAAGTGGGGGCAGACAGATGGGCTGAGACACATGAGCGCAGAAAGCAAGTGTTGGTTGGCAGAGCAGGTAGACTAGGATTGTCTTCTGAATATCTAGATTCACTTCTCAACCGCACTGACTTGCCATTGGCTATTAACAAGTTATTTCAGTTTCTGGAATCATAAAGGTTTGACTCAGAACTGAGCTATGATAACCTATGATAATGTAAGGGTACAAAGAAGTAGGCCAGAAAGTGTCCACGCAGTTCATAGTTTCCAAGATGCTAATTAAACGCCTAACACCAATGAAGGTGATATGTTCAGATAAAGGGGCCGAATCTATCATTGAGGACTCCAATTGCTTAAAAAAAAAAAAAAGGTAGAAAGCAGTTAAGAGGCTGAGATTAAGGTGCTGTTTGACTCTTTGTCTTTCTGGGTCTAATTTCCTCAGTGTCTTTTTATGCACGGGTTTCAGGAAACAGTCTCAGGAGCAAGGTACAATTTCGAGAAACAAGAATCTATAAGGAAACCTGTGAACTGATGTCTTTGCAAGCCCATGAAGATATGTATGTATGTATGTATGTATGTATGTATGTATGTATGTATGTATATGTATGTATACATCTTCACTTATACTTAACTCCAAGAGACTAATCTGCTTAGGAAAGACAAATTACATTACATTTGAGCTATACCATGCTGTAGTCTTGTTGGCCTTAATTTAATTCTCTTCTAGATTATATAGTAACTGGAGCTCATGAGACAACTCAGTCAGAGTTGGGAGGGGAGGGAGACAGGTGGGTCCCTAGATCTTCCTAGTGAGCCAATCTAGTTGAATCAGTAGGCTCAAAGTTCAGTAAGAGGTTCTGTCTGAACAAAATAAGGTGGAGAGTAACTGGAGAAGACAAGGTCCAGGAAACACTCTAGGCTGGATTCTACTCTTCACTCAATGTCAAGACTCTATTAGATTACTTTCCTTCACATGAAATATTCATGTGATGCATGAAGTGATAAGTAAGAGGACAACACGGCAGTCTCCACAAAGAATCTCTCCAAATTTGGCCAGGTTATACCTGACAGGACATAGTTATTCACTCTGGGTATCACAAGAAAAAGATAGTATGTCGCTTCCATGTGTCTTACTCTCTTCTGAAGGCACCATGCATTTGCACTACAAATCACATTCTATAGGTCTTTCTTGAGAAACTGGAGGACTGGCTTATAAAACAGAAAGAGGCCTAGTGGAGATGGCAACACAGAGGTACTAAACAAGTAATATATTAATAGGACAGAGTGAAAAGGCACCTGAATAAATTATTCAACAGACATTTATCAGGGTCTCAAAGATACAAAGATCACCAGGCACAAACTGAA